CCTCCTCTGCCCCACCAGCCTGCCTGAGTGTGCTGGCTGACTTCCATAGTCCTGCCTTTTGTCTCTGTGAACTATTGGGGTCTGAGCTGCTTGAAGCTATTGTTACCCCAGACCTCCTGCAGTGAGAGGGAGGTCTCAGTCTTCCCTCCATGACAGGCGACCCCAGTTTCCGCTGGTCCCACCATGGCCATTACCAGCTGCCCAAGGGACCTTCCTGAACACACTGGTGAAGAGATGAAGAGAGCTGCGTCTGTGTGTGTGCACGTGTGTGTGTGTGTGTGTGTGTGTGTGTGTGACCTGTAGGAGCCTGGGAGGTACACTGAGCTCATGGCACAGACTTGGGTCTGTGACGGCTGGTGGCAGTGCAGGACTGGACACAGTGACATTCCATTGGCCTCTTCCGGTCATTAGGGTCAGCTCCTGCCAGAGCTGGAGCACTAACTGAGCAGGCATGGGTTGGCCACTAGCCACCTTTCCCAGTTATCCAGTCACTTGGTTGTCACCTCAGCAGTCGCCTCTTGGCAGATGGGGGCAGGGTGTGAGAGTCCTCAGGGGAGGCAATTGGAGAGGGGCCGTGGGAGGGAACTCTATGAATGGAGAAGGAAGAACGAAGCTTCAGTGTCACCACCCCTCCCTCATGTCCAGGTGGCTACCTGAAGGTGGAGAACGGAGGCCGTTTTCTACCTGTGACGTTGTCAGTGGTTGTACAGTTCTTAGACTTACCACATATGGGCTTCTGTTTGTACTGCTGCGCCGGGGGTCTGGCAAGTGCCAGGGGGTGAATCTGGAAAGAGAGAGGCCTGGGCTTGTGGGGTAAGGGGTAGAGGAGGCTGGGGCGGGGACACTGGGCGATGGGGCTGAGCTGAACCGGGCGTCGAGAACCTCAGTCAGTTCTGGGCCTGGGGCAGGGCAGGGATGACCTCCTCTTGGGTCTGTGTGTGGCACAGGTCTCCCCTGCAGGCTTTGCTTGTGAGTCCCCAGTGAACTGCCCACTCCTCCCACCGGAGTTCCCAAGGTCATGGTCAGGGCTGGACCTGGAATCTGGTACTCACAGTCATTGCAGCTGTGCCATCAGGGCTGTTTCTAGAGTGACCCGGATGCTGGATTAGTTCCCTCTCCAAATATCCAGAGGAAAACTTGGAAGGAGCCAGGCCGATGACAACCAGTCATGGGGGGTTGGTGGAAGGAAGGGCTTTCCCTTGGGAGCAAGCTTGGGCTGGCTTTCTTTCCCTCCTTTCCTTGTCTGCTGAGTGCTGGGGACAACGGGAATCTAGGGCTGTGCTTGGCGTGGTGAGCAGGCTGGGTTGGATTCTTCTGTTAAAGTCTTTCTGTAATTTAATATTTTTAAAAATATTTTTGGAATTACTAATCTGTAATGTGTATTGTTTGTTTTCACCTTAGAGGTGGGAGGAGGAGAGAGAGAGAGAAGGAGAGAGCGCTTCCTTCTGTTGGTCTACTCCCTGAATCCTCGGGCCAGACCCAAGCTAAGAGCCTGGGCTTCAGTGCAGGGCTGCCCTGTGGCAGGCAAGGACACAAGCACTTGAGCCATCATTGCTGCTTTCCAAGGTGCCCAAGAGCAGGGAGCGAGATTGGACACGGAGTCTTCCCAGAACTCAAACCAGGAGCTCTGCTGGGCGATGGGTGATCCGGCAGTGACTAAGTTACTGTGCCAAGTATGTGTCTCAAGCGGCTGGACTGCTCTTTATTATATACTTCTAAAAACTTATTTATTATTGTTGGAAATGCAGATTTATATATATACAGAGAGACAGGGAAAGATCTTCCATCTACTGGCTCACTCCCCAAATGCTTGCAAATGGCTAGAGCTGTGCCCGATCTGAAGCCAGGATTCCCCTCAGGGTCTCCCACGTGGGTGCAGGGGTCCAAGGCTTCAGGTTGTTCTCTGTTGCTTTCCCAGGCCACAAGCAGGGGATTGGATGGGAAGTGGAACAGCTGGGACATGAACTGGCGCCCATATGGGATCCTGATACTTGCTGGTAGAGGATTAACAACTGATTTATTCCAAAAGAGGAAAATGTCCTGTTCTCTGTCTCCAGCTTCTGGGGAGTGAAGGGGGTTCCTCGTGTGGGAATGGGAGAGATACTGCCCTCAACTTTGGAGGGGTGAGCCTCTCGTCACTGGTGGCATGCAAGTGTCTGCTAAGAGGGAACTCTTGGCCTACAGAGGGGGGACCTCCACTTCCCAGCCCCCAATCATAAGACTGTGGCTATAGGGTCGTTTGATATGGAATGCCCAAAGTTGGGGAGTGATGAAAGAAATCCACTAAAGTGAAGACCAGGCTATAAAAAAAGATCTTTATTTCATGTACCAGGATTTTTTTTTTTTTTTAGTTTTCAGCTTTTTAAAATTTTTTCTGTTAACAGTCTGAAAAAAAAAAAAGGGACCCGCCAAGAAAATAAAATGGAGGTTGGTTTCTCAAACAGATTTGAGCTGGACACAAGCATTCGTCCACTCCGAAAACAGGGCCCTTGCATTCCGTCCCAGCTCCTTTCCTCCAGGGCCCCTAGCCCTTACTTGGCCACGCTTGGTGACCACCCCCTCCCCCAACCCCCCTACCCTTTCTTCCTGGCAGCCTGGAAAGAACCAGGAGTGCCAGGAAACTGGCATGGCCTACTTGGGGCCTCACTCTCCCCTCTAGTCCGAGTGTGGAGGCTGGTGGGGCAGCAAGCAAGGCTTGGGTGCTGGAGGGACAGTCCATGCTTGTGCCCGGAGTGAGAAGCTCGTCTTGAGTGAGCACAGGGGCTGTGTCCAGGACCCTCAGCCTCCCCACAGCACTTCTCTGGCTGACTTGCCAGCCTGCAGCTGGAAAAGTGCAAACGCCCTAAACCTCGTGGCCAACCCCCTACCCTCCCTAGAGTCCCTAGAGACAACCAGGGGAGGTAGCAGGTGCCTGGCCTTGGTGGAGTGACGCTCTTGTCCCTCTGGGGGGATACAAGGGGAGAGACAAAGGGCGCCCCCAGACTTGACTCTGGGCCTCTCATCCTGGGATTGAACTTTTTCTGTTGAAGCCCTCTTTTTAGCACCAGGGGTGCCTTAACTCCTCCCGGCAAGCATCCGGGGACCCTCTTTTCCACCCAACTCCCCAAGGCAGTGAGAATACCTGTTGGCCCATTTTGGATGACTCCCACCTCTCAGGGACTGGGGCAGCACAGAAAGGAGATGCAAAATGAACCGGGGGTTTGGGGACCTCCGCCACCTCCTTTGTCGGGAGGGCAGCATACGTTGGCTCATGGGGTGTATTTTTGCTTCGACACTGAATGTGGGGGCAGGGTATGGGGAGCACAGTGAGGAGGCATACAGTGTGTGTGTGAGTGTGTGTGTGTGTGTGTGTGTGTGTGTGTGGCTGATGGACGAGGTGGACTGTTGGTGTCTGGGGACCTGGGTGGCAGCTGTCGGGTCCTCCCTGGTGTCTTCCACTGGGTAGGTGGCTGATCTGAAAAGTCACCAACATCTAGAATGAAAATGAGCCTCGGGAGCTCATCGGGTCAGCCCACAGTGGGGGGTCAGGGTAGGAGGGAAGCTGAGACCACATAGCAAGGAGTTCCAGAACACGTGTGTGTATGCGTGTGTGTGTGCGTGTGTGTGTCTGATGTGTGAGATGTAGTGAGAGGTATGAGCGTAAAGGCCAAAGTGAAGGAGTTGTGGTTGTGGCCATGGCTTTGGAGGGGTGAGTCTGCTTTCTCTGAGCCGTGCCCCTGACTGAGAATGTGATGGAAGGATTGGGGCCGAGCATGTGTCCCTATGAGCCATCAGCGTGGCGCTGGCTTGGGAGGTCTGTGGCTGTGTGTGTGAACAGGGTGTGTGGTTTCTGCGCCCCTCAGCAACGGCAGGGCCTTCCTCCGGGCCAGAGACTCCTTGCAAGTTGACTGGGGCCTGGCTCCCCTCTCTGCAGCAGCTTTACGCCCAGCTCTGAGCTCTCACTGCATTGTTTCTATTGTTTTAAAATGGATTTGTATATTTGTTTTCTGTTTTGTTCTTTACAAGTTCCCTGCTAAATTTTTTAAGTCCCCCATCCCACCCCACCCTACCCTTTTTTTTTTGATTTCACAGTTTAAAGCTGGAAAAGAATTAAAAGAAAAATACTATCTGATTTTCTTGCAAGTAAATCCACTTATTATATATTTACATTTATGTATAGTCTGTGGTTTTTTTATTAAAAAAAAATCACCACTTGTTTTTCCTTTTTTTTCTTTTGTAAAAAGAAAACCTTTTTGCAGTGTCATTGTTGGACCCGCCCAGGGCCCCTAGGGGGCGGCAGCGAGTCCCAGGACCCTCCCCAGAAAGGGTCCTGGAGCCCCTTCCCAGGGGACAGGGCGGGTCTATGAGTGGGGATGGGGGAGTCCACCATCACCCCAGGGTCACCAGGTGGCCCTGTGGTGAGGGGGGAGGAGAGAGAGTTGCTTTGTAACCCCCTGGAGGGCGGATGTCCCCGAAGGCCCCAAGGATAGGGACTTGGTGGACAGTGGCCCCAAGAGGCTTACCCTGAGGATTCCGGGGGTGTCTGGCCTCCCAGGAAGTCCCCAGCAGCCACCCCCCCTCTCCTTCCCTTCCCTCAAGGCCTAGAAAGTCATCACAGTGGCTTAAGGACCATTCAGGACTGGGCACCTGGGGCTGGGCACACCGCAAGGGCTTCCCCCTCCAGGCACCTGAGGGACAGACAGGAGAGACCCAAGACTCAGTCACCTGGAGGCCTGCACTCCAGGCCCCTTGAGCTTTCCCAGCATTCCTGGGGCACCCAGCCTTTGTTGGGGGGCAGGGAGGTCAGGCTCCAGGGACCTGGCAGTGACCCCCTGAGGCTCCACCCCGCACTGGGGGTTAAAGGGAACAAGAAAGAAATCTCTCCCGCATTGAAAAATAAAAATAACCAAAAACTCAAGAAAGCAAAGGAAGCCAAGGCTGACCACCGGGAGAACAGCCCCTCGCCCTGTGGCTGTTCCCTTTATTGTTCCAGTTTAATGGTTTTCTTTTTTTTTTTTTTCTTAAATGTTAAAATAATGGTACATGGGAAATCATGCATTTTCTTTTAGATTTATTTTCTAGTTTAAATTTTTTATTATCTCTCTCACTTTTTTTTTTAAAGTTTTTCTTCTCTCTATTCCTCCACATTTCCTGTTAGTTTACTTGTTGATTCCTCTTAGCTTTTGTTCTTTTTTTTTTTTAATTTACGTGTTATGTTTTTCTCTTTTTTTGTGTGTGTCTGTGTTTTTGTTGTTGTTGTTTTTTGCTTTGGGAAGGGCTCCCCGCCCCCCAGCCCGCCAGTGCTTCCCCGGGGTCTTTACACGGGGGTGGTCCGGCGGTTGGCTGTGTTGGAGTGAAGCGAGTCTTTGTTCTCCTTCTGAATACAGTTGTGGACCTGGAGGAAGCTGTTGTCCCTGTCGGAGTTGTAGGTGGCGGTGGGCGTGGTGGCGGCCTTCAGGGGGTCCCTGCTGAGGGTGTACATGGAAATCTCCGTGGACGGTAGGGTGTTGAAGCCCTTGATGCCCACGGGCGAGGCGTCCCTGGAGTGGGAGGGCTCGGTGGAGCGCGAGCTGGAGCGGCTGCGGCGCTGGTAGCGGTAGCGGTAGCTGGGGATGCGGGTGATGGCCGAGGCCTGGAGGTAGTCCGTGGCGCGGGCTGTGGCCCGCAGCTGTTTGTGCCGGTCGATAAACATGTGCACGGCCAGCACCCCGACCATCTCGGCGATGATGAAGGACAGGGCCCCGAAGTAGAAGGACCAGCCGTACGAGTAGCTGTTCTTCTTGGAGTCGCTCTTGGAGGGGTCCCCGGCGTTGGCGGATATGTACACGATGATGCCGATGATGTTGCTCAGCCCTGGGGGGGGGGGAGGGCAGGTAGGAAGGCAGTGAGGCCCTGGCAGGGCGAGGACGCTGCCGCTCCTGCCGCTCCACCCTCCGAGGGGCCCAGAGAAGATGTTTGCTGTGGTCTTCCAACCACTCAGGGCTTGGCCCATGGGGGAGACAGAAGCAGAGAGGGGCTGAACCAGCGGCTCAAGCCAGGATCTCAGGTGTGTGTCTGAACCTAAAGCCTTGGGTAAGCTGGCCTGGGGAGTTCTGGGATCTAGGAAAGCCGGGGTGGGATTGAGGGTGGAATGGGGGGATGACAGGCCTGGTACTTGGTCCTTGGGGCCTGTGCTTCTTGATGATGGGTGTGGCCAGGGCTCCTTTCATGCCAGTCTCCTGGGTGCCCACGGAGCCTCTAGGGCCAGAGTGACTCAGGATAGTGACCTGGCCTGCTTGCTCCCATAAGGACACGTTTGGGAGGGCATGGTGGAGCTGGGCACAGGGCAGGGGCTGCAGGAAGAGGGAGAGGAGGGACAGCTTGGCTGACCCCTCTTTCCTTCTCACCTTTTTTTTCTGGCACCAGGAAGGGGTGACAGCAGGTAACCACATGCCTTGTCATCTGTGAGTTTTCGGGGGCTCTTTCCCAAGGGCGGCAGGAAGGTGGAAGGAGGGCCAGGGCAGAGGTCTCGGGTCACCATGGCAGTGCTGGGGATGGGCACTGCGGCCCCCCCACCCCGCCAGACACCCCGGAGATGGCTACCTGCGGACACGAAGAAGATGCCGGCACTCAGGATGATGTTGTGTCGCGTCTTGTAGAACTCACTGGCCGCCACGCACAGGCCGCCCATGAAGAGCAGGATCACGCTCAGTATCGGGAAGATGCTTGAGGCCCGCACCGCCCCTGTGGACACAATGGGAGGGTCAGGCACTGCCCCAGAGCAGCCACGGAGCAGGGGAGGAAGCCAGCCACTCCTCACCGGCACTAGGGATCAGCCATCCCCGGCCTTGGCTAACTTCCCAACACTGGAATGCCTTTCCTGCTGTCACTCAGCAAGCTCCTATCCATCTGTCAGAACCCCAACACAAAGTCCCCTTCTCCATGAAGCCTCCCCTGACTGCCTTCGGTGAGCATAGTAGCGCCCTCCGCAGGACTTTGTGGGGGCACTGTGGAGAGACAACTGCGCTAGAGTGGTTAGGTTGACCGCGTGGACTTGGATTAGAATCTGCGAGCTGGGTGTTTGGGACCATTGGCCTTGGTTTTCTCTTCTGTAAAATGGAGTTGGTAAAAGAGTCTGCTTCCTGGGGCTGCAGCCAGGGTTAAGTGAGCTGACGCAGGTGAGACTTATCAGGGTAAGTCAGTGGGCACACTGGAGAAGAATGTTGTAATAAATATTTGCTCCTACCCTGAGCCACGAGGCCAGGACATGGGCTGTCTTTTTGCTAAGTTTCTCCTCTTTCCCATCCCCAGTACCTTGTTCATGGCCAAGGACATCACAGGCCCTCAGTCCAAGCTTGTCTGATGGATATGTAGCATGTGTGACGAGAGAGCAAAAACAGCACACAGGAGACAAAACCTCCCCGGGGCAAGGTGAGAAGGAACAGCTGACCGGCAGGACGGGAGACGAGAAGGCCGTTTTATGGGCAGAGGGTGCAGACGTGGCTGGGGCAGGTGGGCAGTGGGGCTGTATCTGAGTGAGGCTGCTAAGGAAGTGTCTGTGCGAAGTGAAGTGTGTCTCTGTGCAAATTCAGGTACCAGGGGACCTGAGGGTCCTGGCGGTGCCACAGGCAGGGCATGGGCCCTGCATTCTCTGGCACCTGTTTTGGCTGCAGAAGGGACTTCCAAAGAGCTGGCCTTGGGGCCAAGGACTACCTGGGAAGGTGCATGTGGGGTGCACAGGTGCCAGGAGCTCAGCCTTTCCCAGTGCTTGTCCCTGCCACCCATGGGTGTGGCCCAGCAGATGGGTGAGATGGGACGAGCTGGACGGCTTTTCCCTGGATGACTGGCTATGGCTCTGTGTCTGCCCCTCCATAGACCTGCTGTGGAGGTGTTGGGCGTCCCCTGGGGGCGGGACCTGAGGGACAGGCCTCTGTGTCTAGGCAGGCAGCACAGGGCAGAACCCAGCTGTCGGTGTGGAAGCAACGGGCCGGAGCCAAGGGCACAGACAGCCGGGACAGCAGGTATTCTTAGTACCTTCTCCCTCCGGGGGAGGATGGGCTGTTCTGCCACTGCAAAGCATTTCTAAGTGCACTGAGTGGCCAGCTCACACACACACACACACACACACACACACATGCGCACATGCACAATTAAATGCTTCGGTGATCCTCGTCTTTGTCACATAGGGCCGGGGAGAGTTTGCTGAAGGTAGCCTGAAAGAGAATCTTTGCTAAGCCCCCCACTCTCAGCTCTTGAGTGGACCCTGAAACAGAATTTTACGTAACAGCGTCATAACAGTGCCACAGGCTGTGTGATTTGCTGCAATTTAGAGATGAGAAAACAGATTCAGAGAGCTGAGATCACGGTCCCAAAGCCACCCAGCTGGTAAGGATCAGAATCAGATGAGCACTTGTACTTCCCCTTTGGGAAGGGGGCTTCAGGGGGCCTGGCTGTGCTCCTCACTGGCTGTGTGGCTAAGGCAGGTCCCTGACCCTCTCTGGTTTTCCTTGGTGTGAGATGGGGTGTGGATTGCCAGATGATTTCTGGAAGCCATATGGAGAAGGTCTCCAGCCGGCTGGAGGGGGAATGCCAGCAAGCAAGGAAGCGGGTGCCGTGGCTCCTGGGGGGCAACAGCAGCTGGTCCGATGGGCCAGGTGGAGGGAGGGCCCAAGACTTCCCTTCCCAGCAAGGAGCAGACCCCGACTGCACTTTCAGAGCAAGCAACCTTGGAGCAGCTTGAGGCTGGGTGTCTGCCACCAGCTTCTCCTGCTGGGAGGCCTGGATGCCGGCCGTGCAGCAGCCATGGAGGAAGCTGGGATGCCAGCTGTGCACACACATGATGCACCTGTGTGCATCTACACCCATGCATATGTTTCTGTGTGGGTTCACGTGTGGACACTGGCTGACATACATACAAGGTCACCCCCAGTCGCTTCCATCTCCATCCTTTACCTGCTCCTTGGTAAGAGGGAATAGACACATCTGTCAGGCCTTGGTCCGGTCCCCAGTGGGAAGAGGGGTCAGTACTGCACTGGCCACACCCCCAAGGGATCCAGAGGCTGTGTTGGCTGTCCTCAGGGGGCCTCTGGACTCCAGTTCAAGAGAGGCTGTGGGGAGTGAGTGCTCACTCCCTCATTTACTCAGTCATACATTCGTTCATTCACTCATTCACCCACTCATTAATTCACTCAGTCATGCATTCACTCATTCATTCATTTAATCATTCAGTTACTAATTCATTTATTTATTCATTCAGTCACTAATTCATTCACTGATTCATTCATTCATTCAATCACTCATTTACTCACTCACTGGTCAGATGTTATAGAGTGGCCCCGTCAACTTCTGGCTTGGGAAAATAAACCCTGGACGCCCGACCAGAGTGCCCTTCTGGAGTCCTCTCTTCTCCTTCTTGGTTCTACATGCTGGGTTGAGCTGTGACGCCCGGTGGACAGGTGTCACCCTTCACTGACCATGCCTCCCCTCCTGGGGCCTCCTCGCCTAAACCTCGGTGTCCAAAACTTGGTGTCTGGGCCTCTCCTAGGTGGGTGCACAGAGCCCCATGACTGGAAATACCTGTCTTCCTTCTGCTCACACCTCTGTTGAGCACCCTAGTCCCCAGGGCTGCTACTGGGTCCTGCCCCACAGCCTTGCCCAGTCCCTGGCCAGCACCTGGGCTCCCTTGAGGCCCCAGGTCCCATCCCATACTGACACCATAATCCACCCAGTACTGACGGTGGTGGTTAGCCCTGGGTGTGTGCTTGTTCAGTCTCTTGTAAGTGGATCCCTTGAGTCTGAGAATCAGTTCTGGTGCCACCTTCCCTAGGAGCCCTTCTGGAATGATTTCTGTCATTCTGGCTCAGGGGGCAAGCAGTCCCCTGAGTGTGGACCCCCATGCCTCCTTCTAAATCTATGAAATATCAGGTTCCCGGTTTTGTCTCTACATGCTAGCCCTCAGGCACAGAGCCTGCTTCTGTCTCTCTCGTAGCCTCTCACGTAGCTGGTGAACTTCGCAAATAAAGTAGGCTTGACATACCCTAACCATTGGTGGAGGCTCTGCCCACCTCAGTGAAGCCCCACCAACCTATGGGAGAAGCCCCGCCCCCACCCTGTTTCTCCGCAAGCTTGCCTGGCCCATACTGTCTTCCATGGCCCTTGATCATGACTCACTAACCACCTGCAGAGAGGACAACGCACTTGATGGGGCACTAGTTCCCTGCCAGGTCCTGAGCTTGGTGCCTGTGGTGTCCACACAAGTGGGCAAAGCGTCAGGGTCTAGTGAGAATGCCAGTGTGTACTGACAAGATGACAGTTAAGGGTGGTGAAGGCTGGGAAGTGGCGGAGGCCCCCAAGGCAGCTACCAACCCAGATAAAGGAGGGTAGGGTAGGGAGCAGGGCTCAGAGATCCTTCTAGAAAGAAAGACAACTCCTGTCTTCTGGTTTCTCTCACCAGTCAGGACAGAGCTTCCTAGAGAAGGAGAGGAATGCATGTCTTCCAGGCCCAGAGCACGGGCGCTGCTGTCATTCAGGCTTGGCTTGACCCACAGCTGGCTCAGCATACGGCCAAGTGCAGACCGCAGTTGCCATCTGAGGACAGTCTAGCTGCCCTGGAGCCACCACATTCCCCTGCGTCCCTGTGGCCCGTGGCTGTGTTCATGCAGGGATGAGTAGGGGGAGATAGATCACAAAGTCTCAGGGTCTAGTTCTGTCCAGAAGAACTAAATGAATCCCAGGATTAAGTTGACTTGAATCCGGCCCTCTGATCCCTGCTGCAGCCCTTGAGTCCAGCCAGTTCTCTATAACCCACTCAACCACCAGCTTCTCCTTGGGGATCAGGGACCGTGCTGTGTCCTACCTTGGTAACCTCTGACACTGGCACAGGGCAAACATATGGCCAAACATTTGGCCAGTACCCATCCCACGGCTCCTGCACTGCCAGGCATCTGCAGCCGTACGATCAGGCTTGGTAAGAGCCCTTACAGGAATCGACACCCTGCCTTTAAGAGCTATGTTCCCAGGGCTTTCCTAAAAAAAAAAAAAAAATACTAAGTCTACAAATCACCTCCTGATTCCTTCTCTGCCTTCCTAGTTGCCTGGCCACCCTTGTTCACCTTGCGTGGGCCTTTCTGTGGCTGAGCCTCTGAAAGCTGGCTGAGATGGCCTGAGCTGCATTACAAAGCGGCTGGTAGATTGTTCATCTCTCTTCCCCTCCCCAACCTTGCTACGTGGAAAGGGGAGGACAGACAGAGGGGGCAGGAGAGATGGGGCAGGGGCAGCGGTGCTGCGGGGAGGAGAGCCAAGCTGGGCTGCAGAGCCAGCTGCAGCTGCTGCGGGCTCAGCGCTCAGCGGGCCCTGGACCTTGAATGCTTAAGGGCTCTCTTGGCCCCTCTCTGGGAAATCCCTTCCTCTGGGAGCAGGTAACTATGTTAGTTTTTGCCGTCGCTTGAGAAATTTCCCTGGGGCCTAAAAATGCTCCCACTTGACAGGCAGGCGGCTCAGGCAGATTTAAGATGGCAGTGGTGGCCCCTGGGGTTAGCTTCCCCTGGACTAGTTTCCCCCCAGCTCCACTCCCGCCCAGCAGAAGATCCTCCTCCGCAGTGTCTCATGGCCTTGTTGATCTGCGTGTTACTCAAGAAATATTGATAAGGTGCCGAGGTGGCTGCTGATGGTGGGAACAGTGGTCTATGAGATAGGGAAGGTCCCTGCTGGTCATCTACAAAGCATGATTTTGTGTTGTGCAATGGAAACCTGTTTAGCAGGTGGGGAGGGCTTCCTGGAGGAGGTGATATTTCAGTTAAGATGAATGACAGTTTGTCAGGCAAGGAGAGGGAGGGAAGAGTGCTTCAGGCTGTGGGTGAGGGTAGGGGTGGGCACAGCCTGCAGAAAAATCCCAGCATGCTCCCATGGAGACATGTTGCTGCCTTCTGCTGTGACAGTGCCCTCTGGGTCAGCCTGGTCCTTGGCTCTCGGAAGGGTGGAAGGCAGGAGAGGGGTTAGATGAAAACCTGTGGCACACTCACGGAGGAAATATTCTGCCGTGTCAGCTTCGTAATCCGCATCCTCAGGGAAGTGGTCGATTTGCTTGCATAGGCCTTTGAAGTTCCCTGCAAGGCAAGGGTAGAGGGGGCGCATGAGACCTCAGTGCACCTGCTTCTCCCTGCTTCTTGGTGCTCTTTGGACTTCTGCCTGGTGGGGGGGACCTCCCCCTGCCAATTTCCCAGCACCGCAGAGAGGTTCCGGTAAACCCTGCCTCCCTCCCCTCCCTTGCCTGGCCCGGTCTGGAGCTTGGCTATGGTGGCTGCTGGGGTTTGCTTCTGGGTTGGGGACGACATCGTTAAGGGTGCTGCACCATGAACATCTGCCTGCCTGGGTGTCTGGCTTGCCTAGGAGTCATGGTGCATTTTGAAGGTGAGAAAACAGCCGTGGCTTATCCTTGGAGGCAGAGCCAGGACTGTTGCCGGGAACCCCTTCCATGCCTGCCACCTGGGCCTGCATGCTTTCCATGTGCGGCTGCTGCAAGTGTGCACCGCTGAGCCCTGGACAGCTCTGGATTGGATTATTCTGAAGGCAAGAGATGGGCATGGGGCCCTGGGGCCGATCCTGGAGCCAAATTCTGGCTTTGTTAGGTCTGATCACAGGCTTGTAGGAGGTATCCTATCACCTCCACTGAATGGATGACTAAACTGAGGCTCGCAGAGACCAAATGATCTGAATAAGGGTTCATGGTAGGAAATTGATGGCATCAGGGTCTAGACTGAAGCCACTCTGAACATTTCCTGGTGATGGATGAGCAGCCCCGCCTTACCACCCGACTACATCAGGCACAGTGCTCCGCTCTGAGCAAATGCATGGACCATCGAGCGCAGCCTTCCTGGAAACCAACCTGTCCACTGTCATAGTCCCCGGCCCCAGCTGCAGGCACAAATGGCGCCTGTGGTTTAGAAAAGTCATCAAACCTGGGGGCAATGACAGAGGGCAGGAGGGACACGGGCCCTGCCTTGCTGCAGCCTGGGTTCCGCTCAGCTTCCCTGAGCTGGTAGCTTCATCTGCTGAAAGTGGAGAGAATAAGAATTCTTCCCACAAGGATTGTCGGGGAAATGCACCGAGTTAACACAGTGTGAGGGCTGCTGCCTGATGCTCTGAACTGGTCCTTGGGGGTCATGACGTGGAGGAAGCATGAACTTGGACGTGTTCAACTCCCAACACTGGCATTCTTTTTTTAAAGATTTATTATTTTTATTACAAAGTCAAAGATACAGAGAGGGTGAGAGAGAGGAAGATCTTCCATCTGCTGATTCACTCCTCAAGTGGCCACAATGGCTGGAGCTGTGCCAGTCCAAAGCCAGGAGCCCAGAGCCTTTTCCAGGTCTCCCACGCCCCTACAGGATTCTAAGGCTTTAGGCTATCCTTGACTGCTTTCCCAGGCTACAAGCAGGGAGCTGGATGGGAAGCAAGGCTACCAGGATTAGAACTGGTGCCCATAAAGGATCGTGGCATGTTCAAGGCAAGGACTTTAGCCACTAGGCTACCACGACACTGGCATTCTTTGCACCTCATTGCTACAGGCTTCTGTCCCTGCTGTGATGTATCTGTCCACACGGTACTGAGAGTCTGCTTCTCACGATGGAGCAGTAGGTTTGGCGATGGATGATGGATACTTTGAAGGCATCTCAAGGCGTTCTTAAATGGATCAATTAGCTTGTCAATATGCATATGACCTACCATGTACAGTTCATGGGAAAACAGAATGAAGAAGTATATTTTGGTTCAAAAAAAACGTTAAAATCCACACATTTTTTCTTTTTCATGATGTGCATTTCCTGTGAACTTTTGGAAGGTATTGGGTACAAATGTATACATGTAGGGCTGTCCAGTTGCTCTGATGAGGCCACCTGTGGTGGTGAAGCCCTGGTCCCCATTCACACATTCACCAACTTTCTTGATTTTGTGAGAAAAACAATTCCCAGAGTACCTTGGGCCCTCCAGTTGTGCAGGGGAGCCTTGGAGGGTCTCTTAACCTGGACACACTGGGGATGGTCCCTACTGTGCTGTTTGAACTCTCCCTCTGCTGGCCCCTGTGCCCTGTTCTCTCCCCATTCTCTCCTGCTACCCACCCCCTGCAGCCGGGAAGACAGCTCCCCCCATGCCCGCCTGTGTCTGGGGACATTCCCAGGTGCCCTGTTCCCCTCCTGGTGAGTGACTCACTCTGCCCATCCTGCCACACATCATGCTCTGCACTCATACCAGCTGCTAAGAGCGGAAGAAACCCTCCCTATTGTTCTCATCACAAATCGGCATCTTTGAAAAACACTTTCACTTCCTTCCAGTCCAATCTGACAAGTGTTTTGTCAGCACTTGCTCTCAGGACTGGGCCTTGGGCAGATGCTCACGTGGTGATGCCTCAGGGACCCCACATGAATCGAAGTACTTGCGGCACCTGTAGTTCCCAGCATAGGGCGTGGTTCAGAAGGAGGCCTTGAGGGATGACAGGAGTGCGGTACTGTCTTTTGAGGCCCAGTCTGGGGCGCCAGCTGCCTGTTGATCATCTCCTGGGAGCTTTGGCCAAGGCACTGTTGGCTCAGCAGGTTACACTCTTCCTTAATCCTGATGACTTGGAGGCCCTGGATTCAGCAAATGCCTGCCCAAGGCTCCCGTAGGCCAGCCCAAGTCCAGGCAAGGTGGCCAATGGTGTCGCTCCATTGCGATGTCCTGCTTGGGTCAGTTGCTCAGTGTCTCTCTGTCTGCAGCAGTGCCCACACCCAAGCGACTGTCCCTGCTGTTCTAGATAACTGCGTGACTTCCCTAACTGCGTGACTTCCCCACCTGTCACCTTGCACCCACTCCCATCCTTCCCTACATGGTAATTGCACAGATCTAATCACGGCGCCTCCAGCTTAAAGCACTTTCCAGTGTGCTTTGGGGTGGGTATAGGCAGGGTGTGCCCTTTAGAGGGGTAGCAGGAAGAAATAGAGGTGTTTATGAAAACACATCCCAGGTTCCAAGCTGGGAAAAGGGGAAGTGAGAACCTGAGGGGATCCAAGAGGCATGACACACATTCACACATGTGTATGCTGGGAGTGTGTGAGCGTGCATGTGTGAGTGCATGCACAAGCATGTGGGGGCTTGTCTGTGCATTGGGAACCTTATGGGGGGGCTCCAAGAACTGTCAGAGCTGGGGCATCTTGGGGTGCACGGTGCTTGGAGAGGATGCAGAAGACAGTGTGGATGGGGCGTGGTTTTTGGTGACTCCAAGTTCAGGGGTTAAGACCCTGAACATGGGTATTTCATGCCAGGTGAAGGTGAGGTGATACCCAAAGAAAGTCACAGAAATGAACGAATGAGACAAAGAGACACACCACTCTGGTTTTCTCTAAATGTGTGTTACAACTTCCCATCCTCTTAAATGCCCAAATGTGAATGACTGACCTGGGATTCCAAGCAGCCCCCCATGGTCCATTGGCCAGTGTTCAGAAAAACTGGTACTATCTTTGGATAGAGAGGCTGTCACATGCCAAATCAGGACCGGATTTGTTTAGGGAACTACACGGTGACTCCTGCTGGAGAAGGTGTCACTTTTGCCCAGTCAGGAGGACTGTTACCCAAGGGGCCGACCCTTCCCTAGAGGCCAGGCCAGCATTGGGGAGGAGGGCAGAGACCTCAGCCATGAGGAAGGTCCTGTTGCTTTTGGCCTCTGCAGGGCCATATCTAACCTTGGGCAGAGTGAGAGGTGATGGAACCCCTAGCCTAGCCCCTCCTTTCTTTCTGCTCATCATAAGCCAGGAGCCACCTGTATCCCCAACCCTTCTCCTTGTACCTGGGATAGTGTTGCCGTGCTTAACCACTGCGAGGCAGCACCTGAACATGTTGGTTACATTCAAGAAGGTGAGAAGAAGGGGTCAAGGCAGGGGGGAGCTGCCTGCCTGGCTGTGTACTCCTTGGGGAGAGTCCCAACAGTAGCTCTGGGGTGGAGGCAACAGTGCGAGATGGTTCAATGGAGAGGGCTATTTTGAAATTCTTACACCTGAGAGGCAGGAGCATACTGCTAACTCTGGGTCACAAATTTAGCAGGGCCCAGGGCTAGGACCTGGGGAGTGGGAGATGGGGTGAGGATGAGAGTGGACCCAGGGCCCTCTGAGGCTGATGGTGACAGGTTAGGAAAGGCACGGGGTCTCCAGGGGCCCAGGAGGCAGGCTGACTGAGGGCGGCCGGTGCTGGGGCTCAGCAGGGCACCGGGATGCACTGGAGGTACCTGGTCACTGCTGGTGAACTTGGCTTTGAAGGCCAATGGGGGGCCATGGCCTTGCTGACAGCTGGCGGACAGTGCTGTGGTTCCGATGCCAGCTCAGAGCCCCATGGGGCAGTGCCTGCTCCAGGCTTAGACGGACATGGTGTCCGTCTCCGTCTCTGGTCGCCTCTCCTGTTGGTTGGCATTTTCTAGGGAAGGCTCTCTCCTGCGCTGTGGGACCTGAAGGTTGGTGGGGGGCAGGGAGGTGGTAAAAGTAACCCTCTTGTGCCCTCTGCCCTTCCAGGGGACACAGATGGAAGGAAGGAGATGTCCAGAGCGAAGTGTCTCCCTGGCTGTGCGAGATGGGGCTTTGACGCATGTGCGAGGAAGGGAGTGAACAGGGAAGCTTGTTTTGGCACACACATTCTCAGGAAGAGACTCCCCAGCAAGTACAAGGCAAGGGGTGGGCTTTTGCCCTCACTCAACCTCAGAGTGCCCAGTGTGATGCCCAGCACTGGCTCCTGATTTCAGCTTCCTGCCCATGAGCCCTGGGAAGCAGCTGGTGATGGCTTCAGTACTTGGGTCTCTGCCACCCCCAAGCAGACTTAGATGCAATCTCAGGCTCCTGGATTTGCCATCCCCCCAGCCCATCCCTGGCTGTTGCTGATATTTGGGGAGTGAATTAGAAGACATGAGTGCTCTTTCCCACATAGTTTCTCTGCCTCTTCAAATAAAGAAATAAAATATTTTAAACATTTTGTGAAAAGTGCCTGTCATGGAAAAAAAAATCTGAGCATAAATTTCATTTTTTTTTCCCACCAAAACAAACACAACTTGTGTTTCCATTTCCTCCACGCAAACGTTTGGAAGTGCCCTTGT